CTAACAAATGAGCAATCTCCTATGAATAAAAGAAAATTTCAGTTCATATTGAAATACACAGACACATACACCGAAATATATACATAAACCGTGTTATAAAAAGAAAGATGGTGTAAAAAAAATATAGTAATAATAATAATAACGCTTTATTTATTCTGGGACGAGTCCCTTTAGAATAATACAGGAAGACAAAAATGTGGGCTAAGGAGCCTCAGAGATACATAAGCAAGAATATAATTTAATTATATAGTCAAAATAAAAGAAATTATAAGTTACTTTCTAATTTAAATCAGTTAATAATGAAAAATAAAAAATTGAAAATAAACATGAAGTAAAAATAATGAAGAACGATCTGATAATTTATATACATATTTACAGTAGTAACTATTTACAATTTTATGAGGACAGGGTGGATAAGAAATTATTAAACAGGCGGGATTTAAAGGTAGAAAGGGTTTTGGATTGACGGATGTGGAAAGGGATGGAGTTCGATAGGGATGAGGATCGGGTAATGAACGATCAGTGGAAAGCAGCGGTTCGGTGGGCCCTTATTTATAAATCAGAAGACCGGGAACGAACAGAGGATTTGAATTGAAGGAGCTCGGAGATGTATGAAGGACGGTGGGATTGGATGACTTGAAGAGAAAGGATGCCAGGAAATACTTACGACGGTAGGAAGAATAAAGCCACTTCAACTCTGCATAAAAACGGGAAACAGAGGCGTCCCTTGGGATCCCGAAGATAAATCGTACAAAGCAATTTATCAAACGTTTTAATTTCGCCTCAAGATCCCCAGAGACGCCCCCATATACCATACAGCAATAGTCAAAGTGGGGAAAAATTAAGGAAGTTACTAGGAGTCTACGGGTTTCAAGGGGAAATGGGTGACGGGAGTAATTTAGACGTTTTAAGGAGGAAATGGTACGGCGGGAGATGTTTGGATATATGATTTTATCCAGGAAAGCGTTTGATCAAAGCTCATACCAAGGTATTTGATGAGATTATCTTGAAGGAACAGAGTTGGAATATTAGGAATAGTTTTAAGGAGGTGATTGGAGCCTATTAAGATTGCCTTCGTCTTTTCTGCATTCAAATTCAACTTGTTAGCTCTCGCCCAGTCACAAATCCTATCCAAGCCTTCTTGAAGTTTTTCCGTTGCTGATAATAGGTCGGTAGGCGGGAAGGACAGATATATTTGGAAATCATATGCATAAATATGGTATTGGGAGTGATGGATCAGGAGGTCTTTAATATAAATAGCAAACAGAGTTTATCTAGGAGATAGAGAGGGGGAGGGTTTTAGATGGTATATATATATGTGTGTGTGTGTGTGTGTACATATACATGCATATATTATGAATAAGAGATCATATGTACATAATATGTACAAAAAAAAAATTATTAAAAATGCTGTCTTTTACATTATTACTTAATATGTGGTTAGACGTTTTCTGACTGTTGCAAGAAAAAAAAGTTAAAATTGGAGGGTTTTAAAAGTGCACAGGGAGGGAGCATGTTGAATTTTTAGAGGTAAGGAATTCAAGAATGAAGCAGAGCGGACTTCGAAGGAGTTTTGAAAAGTGGCAGATCTATGAAAATGAGTATAAAGTTCTGATGGTCGGAATCTTTTGGTGAGAGGGTGGACAGAGGACTTGAATTGGAGAAAATCATAGGTATAGGAGGATCGACGACTGTTGATAATTTGATAGAGAAATGTGCCTAGGAAATATTGTCTACAGAAGAAAGGGAAGAGCCACTTTAACTCGGCGTAGTGGTGGGATACACGGGAACGTCTCGGGGTCCCAATGACAAATCTGACAAAGCTATCAAGTCCCCTCAGTTGGTCGCCAAGACACACTGGGAGACCGCCATACACCACAACAGTCAGAGATTGGCATAGAGAGAATAAAGCATACATCATACACCGAAAAACATTTCAAATAAGTATTAATAAAGACAATAAAAGTAAATTTTGAAAAAATAAGTGAGGAAACAAGAGCGAGAAAAGAAACAAATTAGTAAGTAAAAGCTATGAGACAGTTTAACCAAAATCCTAAATATCATTTGGGTACCAATTAAAATAACAAATTCTTTGATGAAGGAGAAAGAGTGATGAAATATGTAGTCAGGCGAAAACGTCAAGATCCGATGCCTGGTCAATCAAAATTACTTGATGGCCGTCTTCTTTTCGGCATCGCACTTTGACGGCGGTGAACCATACGTATCTTATCTTCCCAACCGCTCTATTTGCCGACCAATCCAGTAGAGGTGTCTGTTCGTTGGAAGCATCTCCTCGCCGAAATAAATTCGGTGGCAGTCATTACCCTGCCACCCGGTATCACGCGTTGAGAAGTCCCTCTTGACTTTTCTTCTCGCTATCAGGTTGTCCCTTACTGACTGCCTGACGAAAAACCACATCCACATCCTCCACACTAAGCTTGATGCCCAGCTATACTGGTCACCAGAGCCGCGGGCGTCACTCTGATGAATTCCAAGTTATTTCCTTCATAATTATTACCATATTATTGCCGTTTCAGAAACCTGGCTCAAACCTAATATTCCCTCTTCCTCCTAACATTCCTAACCATCGAATAGATCGAACAGATGGTGGTGTTCACCTTTATGTTCATGAGAGTGTGAGGGCAAAAATCCTGCATAAATCTCCCTCTCCCGACTTTCCTCACTTAGAGTATTTATTTGTAGAAATATCCTCAAATTCCTTTTCCCTCCTTTACGTCATCCTACGTTCCTTTATACAGCAATGTTATAATAGCCGGCGAATTTAATACCAATTTATCCTCCGACTCCCCTGATAAATCATACCTTATAGATCTAATCCATTCTCTTGACCTATTTATCGTTCCTTTTCAACCTACTTACTATACCCAGTTCTCGAGCACATGGCTCGACCTTTTTCTTATCGATTCAACTCAAAACTTATTATCCTCTGCTCAGAACTCAGTTTCCTCCCCTTCACATCATGATCTCATCAAGATTTCCTGTCTCCTAGGTTCACTCCCAGGCAAATTACATGGTGGGATCTTGGCTCATTGACCTCTGAGATCCTTTCCTCGTATCACTTGCCCAATCCTTCGATCCTATCTATTCCCACTCCTCTATTGATAAGATGGTGGAGTTTCTTTCCTCAAACCTTCTCCTATTCCTAAATCAGCACGCCCTCTTAAAGATCTCGACCTTTAGCTCCCTGGATTAATCCAGAAACAGAGAGTTGATGAAAAGAAGAGATGTTGCAAGGAGGCGTTTCAGACGATCATGTAATCCGGATGACTATTTCTCTTTTAAGACTCATCGAAACCTTACTTAATCTTCCTTACAACGTGCTAAGGCACAATTCTTTCATACTTCCTTATCACAAGCCTGAGATCCTAAGTCCAGATGGAAAATCATTAAAAACCTCTCAGTGGTAGAATCAAAAACTTGCACCTCCTACCCTGTTTCTTCAGATCAACTGCAGAATTACCATTTTGCCGATCCTGACTCATTACAATTTTCCTCCTCATACTGTATTCCTAAAGCTTCCTTTGACCATGAAAATTTCAATTTTAGAAATATTTTACCAGAAGACCTACTTTCCTCTGTCCTAATATCCAGAACAAATGACTATGGCCCGGATCTAATTCCTGGGAAGTTAATCAAATTATGTCTTCCTATCATCTTTCCTGCCCTACTCCATATCTATAATTTTTCCTTACAAAATTCCATTTTCCCGTCACCTTGGAAAAAACGTCATGGAAAAATTCCTTCCACTGAGCAAAGTTCCGATTCCAGACCCATCTCCATTCTCTCCAATCTTTCATAGCCTCTTGAAAGAATAGTCCACTCACAGCTTTATACCTTCGTTGAGCAAAAACCTCTCCTCAATCTAGTCTGGTTTCCGATCCCAGTTATCCACCTAATCCGCTTTGCTGAAAATTTCTCAGGACCTTCATCTCTCTATAGACAAACAGAAAATCTCTATACTAGTTCTCTTTGATTTTTCAAAAGCTTTCGATTCCGTTAATCACGAAATCGTCCTTACCAAACTCCAAAACCTTTCCATATCAAATAGTGCTCTAAAGTGGTTCCATTCTTTTTTATATCAACGATCCTAAACAGTAATCATTCCCAATCAAACTCTTTCCTTCCCCCTCTCATTAACTCGTGGTGTTCCTCAGGGATCTTTGCTCTCTCCAACTCTTTTCTCCATCTATATTACCGATCTTCCTTATTCCATCCATTATTCACAACGCCATTTATATGCAGACGATCTCCAAATCTACCTTTTCTTCCGTCCTACCGATATGCTTGAGGCGATCCGAAGGCTACAAGAAGATATGAGGATATTAATACCTGAGATATTTAAAATTTAATGTTGAGAAGACCAAAACCATTGTTATTGGATCTAAGCATCTGATTAACGTCATTTCTTATTATCCTCTACTCTACCTCACAGGGATAGCCATACCTTTTCACACTTCTGTAAGAAATCTTGAGGTAATATTTGATCAACATCTGTCCTGGAATAATCACATTTCCCAAATTATCCGAAAGTCCATTGTAATATTTTTCAATTAATAAGTTTAAAAAAATAGTTGGAGGGACAAGCATAGCTCGAAATTATCTCGCTTGGTTGTAAATAGAGTATATAGGTATGTCTGTGTGTTTTTTCTTTATTAACTTTTCTTTTATGTTTTTTTTATTTTTTATTTATTGTATATACTTTTTGATTATTATTTAGTTGTTACTTTGCTTTTGTTTTATTTTATTCATTTATATTTTCTTTATATGTGGTTTGAACGTATTTTTAGCTCACTATAACCATTGTCCATGTGACAGAGTGTTATATTATTCAATATAATTTAGAAAGTAAATTAAAATAAAACAATTTCTATGAGATCGAAATGTTACAAACATCTTATTTATTAACTCATGTATTGATTTATTGTAAATTATTCAAGATGGAAGTTATTTCTGTTTTTTCCTTAATAATTATATTTCAGGTGGGAAAAACCTCATGTTCTGTATGGAAGTTTACTAGATTGGATTAGGTGGCTCATTGCTTGGCAACCTGTGATATTATGTATTGTTAGAGGGATTAATTATGTGCTAGCATTAGAATAGTTTAAATAATTACCTTTTAATTAACTTGAGTATTTTAAGAAGTGTCTTGAACTGTTAATTAATTTCTTTATAATTTGCAATCTATATAAGGATTCCTTTATAATTGTTTATGGTTATAAATAATAGTCCACTCAGCCTGTACTTTGAATAATAATAAAGTGTAAAAGATGAAGATAATAAGGGTATTATGTAATTTTTCATTTTTTAACTTTCAATCATTCGGATCATTACGAGGAATGAGAATCTAAAGATTACTAAATGAATTACAATATTTGTAATTTATATCATAAAAAGTATTGGATAAATCCACTGTTTTATAATATTTATGAATTGAGCGTGGGGACACTAAAGGAGATGAAATACAATTTTCAGGAAACTCGGAACTCTAATAATCTATATTCAGAGAAATATTCTCTCTCGCAACCCAAATTTGTAACATAAAATTCGATTGGATTTTATACGATTTGAGGGGTAAGATTGCAACACCTGGAAAATAGAGTTAGAAACTTTGAAAAATGTTAAAAATAGAAAAATAACAAACAATTAATTTACCTCCTTTGTCATCTCCAAACCTCAATTATCAGTTATCGTTTCAATCTCTCTTTTCAGTAGCAAAAGAGAGATAAACTTTCATATTGCTCTCATCTCATACACAGTACTATTTATGTCAAATGTATTATCTTATTTGGTATTTAAAAGTTTTTCCAAAAACAAAATTAAAATATTTTACATGAATTTACTTTTCTTTTAATTATGAATAGTTTAAAGTTTATTGTATATTCAACTTTAAATTTTAAAATTAATATTGTTTTCGATGATTCGTCATTAGTATCATTGTAAACCAGATTATTTTTATTTTACATTTGTAAATCATAAGATATTTCATTTACTGGTTTGTTAATCATGCTACAACTTTAACATTTATACCTGCTTAATTTATTAAACTGTTTAAAACAATTTTTTTATGATCCCTTTTAAAAAATAAAACTATTTCTGAATATTTTATATTAGCAAATTTTCTTTTACCCAAGTATAGAAGAATTGGGGAGTTCCTGGGATTTAATTTTCGCAGGAGATTTGATTTTGGATCTTCAACAGCCTTAACTAAGCGACCGATGTAACCTTAACGATTTTAATTTATCCTGGTTTGTATTTTTTCAATTTTGTGTTCGACAATTTGGGACCTGTTTCATTACTCGCAACGTATCTACCTCACATACATATATTGTACCATTCTACAAAGATACCTGTTTATGTTGAAACCTGTTTCATGCTGTCTAACATACATACATATATTATAACGACGAAATATATACATATATTGTAAGTTAGGAGTTTTAGGGCGATACATGTTTCTATTATTACGCCTGTAGAATTTCTACTAGTGACATAATCATCCTTTCGTTTGTATAATATTTTTTTACATAGTTGAATAGTCTTATTTTCAAATTAACCAGTATGCTGTGTGTCTAGCGACCCAATATAATTGGGCAGCAAACTTTTATATTTTATATGGAAATAAAGTGTTTCACTCCAGGTTATGTTTACATTTAAGATTTAAATTCACATTCGTAATTTTTTTTTAAATATATAACCTCTACTAAAGAAATAATAAACTTAATTTAATAAAACAATTTGGCCTACTATTATATTTATGGGAATTTCATCCAAATCAAATCTTATTATGAATGTCAATTTCTGTTATTATAAGTTAATTCACTGTATCCAGTGAATTTCGATTATTTGCCAGTAATTGATACAACGTTCTGGGGAGTCCCCTTGAAGAGAAAGCCACTGTGTATTGTGGACATTCCTCGATGAGGTATTTAATAGTGAATGGAGTATAGCACCATTTACACTTCACTACTTCTTCTATATTAATTAGGTAAACATGGGTGAGACGCGAGCCACCTCTTCTTAGCCTGGGAATTACCACCTCTTTTCTTCTTTTACCTCTCACTCAGCTTTTTCATAATCGTGTAGTGCTCTTGGTTCCTCGTAGCTTATTTTGAGAGGAAACACGTTCCCAGAAGCCTTGTCAATCATTACAGACCATGTTCCTTAACCATTTATTAATGTCTTGGTCTTGAAATACTTCTATTTGCGGGTTATTCATTTTTGATCCCTCTTTTAGCAGCCATCCAACAAACAAAACACCATGCTTCCGATTTCGGCAATGTTTAATAAAATGTAAAACAAATGCATAAACCCTTTGGAACTTTAAAAGGCTCGATACTTTTTCAGGCAGAACGGGTGGAGGTTATATATGGTAAATAGGCCAGCCAGAAGTAGGCAACGTAATAAATGCCAGGCCGTTCCAATAAAGATCGTGAGAAAGTATCTGGTGTGGTGAGAGGGCTCTCGATAAGCAATCGGCTGAATTTTTTTTTTGTAGGAATATAGTGCGAACAACTGGGTTTTGTTACTTCTAAAATCTGGACTACGCGATTGGCAACATAAATCTTAAGTTCATAAGGCGGTGTCTGTAACCAATAGAGTACGTTATGAGAATCCGAGAAACAATATATTTCATTAATACGCAAAACACTTTTAAGTTCACCAATACTCGCAAGTAGTCTGAAGGCAAGAAAAGCAGCATTTAATTCCAAACGAGGCACTGATTGAACCTTAAGTGGGGCCACCTTACTTTGTGCTCTTAACAAATGAATTTTGATAGAATACTATATTTAGTTTGCCAACCTTTGTTTAAGCAGTTGTCTAAATATGATTAGGGGCTTTTACTTTATATGAATATAAATATAATGAACATATTTTTTAATATTAAGATTTAGTCTTTTGTTTTTTATAAAATAAAATAGATTATAATTCAAGAAGAAATGCCAGAAATAAAAAATAAATACAATATAATTTGAAACAACAAATTTGATTATGACTACTTTCTTGAGAATGTTGTGTAGCAAGAGTTTCGGCGTCATTATTAATTTCGTTGTCACGGGCTTCTGGTAATGCGTTTCCTAATTCATTTATTAGTTCTCGATATTCTGAAGTATTTGGGAAGAGCATTGGTTCATCATTATTAATTAGTTTGTCAATATCAATGTCCATATCTTCTATACCATTAAGATCATATATTTTAGTATTGTTTTCAATTTTAACTCTGCTTAGTGCGTCCGGGACTTGGTTTGTTCTACCTTCTACATATTTTATCTCGAAATTAAATTCAGTTAAAAGAAATATCCATTTCATAATACGAGTGTTATTATTTTTCATGGAGAATATCCATTGAAGGGGTTTATGATCTGTTTGAAAAGTAAAATGTTGTCCGTAAAGATAGGGTTTAAAATGTTTACAGGCGTAAACTATGGCAAACAATTCTTTTTCTATTGTAGAATATCTAGATTCTGTGCTAGATAATGTTTTGAGGCAAAAGCTATAGCATTGTAGCGGCAACTGATTCCCGCATCTTACTACAGGGGACAACTAGTTCACCTACCTGTTGCCAGGCAGAGCCATACAAGCTCGCCCAACAATGTACCAAAAATTGTATTTTTATTTCTTATTTTTATATGATAAAATACTCAAATTGTAAATTGAAATATGTATACACATTGTAAATATTTTTTATTAATAAAGTTTAATGGCGATAACATATACTGATCAAAGCTTAAAAATAACTGTTATTGTAACGGCTCTTGATAGCCGATTTAGTTTAGGCGGAATAAATACCGCAGGTAAACTTCAAATTGTCAGATCTTCGGATCTCCACCCCTTCAGGGTGTAGACCCTTACGCAAATGATCATTATATGGTTCATATACGCTTTTTGTTCTCGTCTATCTACTTCGCACTATTCTTTAACCTTATATCCTCTTCTTTTGCTCCATGCAAGTTGGACGCTGATCCGTCTGCTTGTATTTCTATATACTAAGTCAGGATATTGATCCCTCCGTTAGTATTTCATCCTCCCACAAGTCCGTAGTTTGATCCCTCTGGTTGTGGTTATCTTCCTTGCGGGATATTAAGCTTGATCTCTTACACCGCAGACTGAGAGTGATTGGGTGCTGATCCGCCTGTCACTTGAGGCCATCCTTCTATTTATCTTCCTACATCCACTATGTCATCTTACTCTCTATTATGAACAAGCAATGTCGAGGCCTTCTGGCACTACGCCGACTGCGATATTAATAACGCTTTATTTATTCTGGGACGAGTCCCTTTAGAATAATACAGAAAGACAAAACTGTGGGCTAAGGAGCCTCAGAGATACATAAGCAAGAATATAATTTAATTATATAGTCAAAATAAAAGAAATTATAAGTTACTTTCTAATTTAAATCAGTTAATAATGAAAATTAAAAAATTGAAAATAAACATGAAGTAAAAATAATGAAGACCGATCTGATAATTTATATACATATTTACAGTAGTAACTATTTACAATTTTATGAGAACTGGATGGATAAGAAATGATTAAACAGTTGGGATTTAAAGGTAGGAACGGTTTTGGATTGATGGATGTGGGGAGGGACGGAGTTCCATAGGGAAGAGGATCGATTAATAAAATATTTATCGAAAGCAACGGTTCGGTGGGCAATTATATATAAATTTGAAGACCGAGAACGGGTACTGCGGGAGTGGATAGAGGATTTGAATTGAAGTAGCTCGGAGATGTATGAAGGACGGCGGGAGTAAATTACTCGGAAGAGGAAGGATGCAAGGAAATATTTACTGCGTTAGGAAGGATAAAGCCATTTCAACTCTTCATAGAAACAGGAAACAGGGGCGTCTCTTGGGATCCCGAAGACGAATCGTACAAAGCAATTTATCAAACGTTTTAGTTTCGCCTTGAGATCCCCAGAGACGCCTCCATATACGGTTCAGCAATAGTCGAAGTGGGAAAATATTAAGGAGGTGACCAGGATTCTACGGATTTCAAAAGGAAAAAGGTGTCGCAGGCTATTTAAGTGTTTTAGGATGGAAAAGGTAAGTCTGGAGATATTAGACACATGGTTTTTCCAGGAAAGGGTTTGATCAAAGATTATTCCAAGGTTTTTGATGGTGGGATAAAATTTAATGGGATGATCATGTAGGAACAGGGTTGGAAAGTTAGGAACAGTTTTGAGGAGGTGATTGGAGCCTATTAGGATTGCCTTGTTCTTTTCCTCATTCAACTTTAGCTTGTTAGCTCCTGCCCAGTCTATTACTGGCGTCAGTTGTGGGAATCATTGGTTTTTTAAAGTCTGAATAAATTAAAATAGGTGCATTTAGTAATAAATATTTTAAGTTATTAAAAGCGTCAATATAAGTATCAGGATTTATCTTATCTTTTAATTTCCGCAAACTAGAAGTTAAGGATTTAGCAACATGAGCATAATTATTAATAAATTTTCGATAGTAACCAGTTAGTCCAAGGAACTGTTTAATTTCTTTTTCTGTTATTGGGAGTGGACATTTTTCAATAGCTTCAGGTTTTGTAGGACCTGTTTTAATTCCATCAGGTGTTAATATATGTCCAAGAAATGGTAGTTGATTATGAAAAAAATCAGTTTTTGATAATTGAATAGATAAGTCATGTTCATTTAATTTGGAAAGTACTATATGTAACTGCCGAAAATGTTCTCCTTTTGATTTTGAAAAAAATTATAATATCATCAATATAAACATGTACATTTGGTGTGTTTGCTAATAAGGAGTTCATCGCTCGTTGAAATGTTGGTGGGGCATTGTCAAGTCCGAATGGCATGCTTGTAAATTTATGAATTTTTACTTAAAATTTACTAAGCCACATTCTCTAGCACATTATGATGTCCAGCGTCAGCGGAAAGCAGTTTTAGCAATTGAATTTTCGGCCATTTCAATCTGGTGAAAGCCTGAGGCTAAGTCAATAGTTGTAAAATATTTCGATCCGTTAAGTTTGTTTAAAAGATCCTCAATGTTTGGCTGTGGGAATTTATCTGCAATTGTTTCAGCATTTCATTGTCTATAATCGATTACAACTCTTATATTTCGTTTACCAGTTGCGTCAGGTTTTTTAGGTACTACCCATATTGGGCTATTATAAGGTGAATTACTTTCTCGAATTATCCCGTTATTTTGTAAATTTTTTATTTCTTAATCAATATCTTTTTTAAATTGTTGAGGGTAACAATAATTTCTCGTGTAGATGGGTCTGTCAGTTTTTAAAGGTGTTAAATGTTTTAATAAATTCGTTTTTCTTAACTTTTTATGTTGTTTTATTATTCGCTGGTATTTGTCTAATAGCTTAACAACCGAATTTTGTTCTTCCTTATTTAAATGTGTTACTCTGATACATTCATTCATTTTTAATTTATATAAATGTTTTATTTCTTTTCAATCATTATTATTATTTGTATTATTACCATTTGATTAAAAATTATTAGCATTTCTTACATTTTCATTATCATTCTTTATTTTTATTATTTGTCCATTTCGATTTAAATCATAATCATTTTTTTTTTTTTTACAATAAATTAGGCCATTTTACACCAACATTTTATTATTACACATTAATTTGACGTTTCGACCATACTAAGGGTCATTTTCAAAACTGGAAAATTAAAATATCATCATTAGTTAATATTCAGCAATTATAAAATGAATTTCTTATTACATTTAATTGAATTGTCTAACGTTCTATGTCAAATTATTTCCGATATACATAAATTTATATAAAAATATATATAAGGTATACACTTTTTATTAAAAAAAACCCATACATGTACGTAACTATAAAACTTTAACAATTAAAAACAAATGACTATTACCTTGATGAGTCCTCCTAATATGTTCATCATTTATGTTATAATTATTATGTTCAGTGAACATTAACTTGTCATGTTATATAGGGGCTTCGCCCACGTCATTTCTGGAGGAACTGACTTATATCGTCCTGGTAGGGATAGCCAAAAGGAGAGGGATTTTCCTTCTGTTTTGCATTGGTGGATTATTATATACGAATTTTATTAATTATATTTGCGTAAAAAGTATTTATATTGTCCACATCTGTATAATCATTTTTATTATTACCATTTCATTCAATATTATTAACATTTCCATTTTCATTCCGATGTTTCTTATTGTTCCAATACCGAGTAATAAATCAAAATTTTTATTAAATTCAAAAATTTTACACTTAATTAATAATTCATGGTCCAGTCCTAATCTGGGTGCGAGATCTATGTAGATCGCTCCATGTCCCGGCTTACGACCATTAAGAGTGTTAACAGTGAACTCTTCCGAGAATATTTTAGTTCCGTAGGGTACAGAACTTGGATTTATATAACTAATTTGTGGTCCAGTATCAACCATCCATTTGCTGCTTAGTAAATCCGTAAATTTAACCAAATTAGCATTTAAATTTAAGTCGTATTGTTCCTTGGTTTTGGTTCCGGCCTTCCTAGATCTAAAAAATTTATCTTCTAAGCTAGCTAGTCTTTCTTTTAATTCCTAATTTTCTTCTTTTACATGGTGGACATCATTAATTTTAACAGTTCGCATTGAAATTGTGTTTTGAGAATTGGGATTAAAAGGCTGTGATGGAAATGAGTTTTTTGTTTTATCGTTTCCGCGCCAGTTAATTTTTTATCCCACGCTTTTGGTCTATATTGTTGGAGGGTCAAGTAGACAAGAATTGCGGGAGCTGGGCCACTTTTTTGCACAGCCAATCAGAAGCCAGTGTTTCAGTGACGTCATCATGGCGGCAAGTTTGAATTTGAACCACGTCACGCTGTCTTTTAGCACCTCCAGCCAGCCTTAACCACCACGCGGATAGTAACGTAACTACTAATTCACGTCCATTTTTACTGCTACCCTGCTTTAACCACCGGGTTACGGACAAATTTAGTCACGTGACCAGCAGTAACGCCCCTTTTCGATCCTTATATTTCCCCCCCACCCCTCTCTCTAATAGGCTGGGTGTACCCGACCGCCATTTTCTTTTCATGTACTTACGAGGTTGCACCTTCTATGACGTCATGAGATCACGTTCCTTTTCGATCCTGTGACTCTCACATTTTCCTCCCATCCCTCTCTCTAAAAGGCTGATTGCACCCGACCGCCACCTTCTTTTAAGGAACTTACGAGCTTTGCACCTTCTATGACGTCACGGTCCTTTTCGATCCTGTGACCCTCACTTTTCCCCCCACTCCTCTCTAAGAGGGTAAGCCCGGCCGCCATTTTGTTTTTATTGTAACCTTCCTAATTTTTATCTTCTATATAACCTTCCCAATGTTTATCTATTATATAACCTTCTTAATGTTTACCTTTCAGAGTCACGTGACCTGCGATTTGAGAGCCGGGGTTCTTTGTCCGCCATTTGCTTTTTCCGGCAATCTTTCTAATGTTTATCTTTTACATAACCTTCTTAATGTTTACCTTTTCAGAGTCACGTTACCTGCGATTTGAGAGGCGGTGAGGGGGGAGGGGACTTTGTCTGTCATTTCGTTCTTCTATTATTATTATTATTATTAAATGGCACTACATCCCAATTATTTGAGACTTGGCCTGCTCCAGGATGGATCTGCAGTTCTCCCGGTTAGTTGCTGCAGCCTTCCAATTAGTCTACATGCATCAGCAGCCACACAGTCCTGCCAGCGCAAACATGGTCTTTCCACTCGTCTGTTTCTAAACACAGGCTCATTCATAACTCTCTGTGGGGTTGCATTCATATCCATACTCGCGACATGTCCCGCCCAGCGTACTCTTGCCAGTACGATGAATTGGCTAACATCCAGGTCATTAAACAATGTCTTTATTTCCAAATTCGTTCTCCTCCTCCAATTCTGTGGTGTTTCCTGGACCCCTCCAAATATG